GGTCCGATCTATTTCTTCTTCTTTTTTTTTTTCTTCTTCTTCTTCTTTTAACACGTACGACTGCTTCTACCATTTACGGTCGATTTGATTATCTTAAATGGACTAAAAGCACAGTCTCTAAGACTTTTAATTATCGCTTACGACTTCTAAGACTACCACACACGACCACTTGGACCACTTTAGATCACCACTGAGGAACCGTTTAATTATCTTTTTAATTACCACTTTCGACCACACTGCAGAAGCTCTTAACTACTTTTATGTACCCAAATAGCCTTAACTATCATCTACGACCACTTGAATGTTCAATTACCTCGCCAAACAAACACTTGATAAACATAACTACCACTTACGACCACTTGAACGACTCTGAATAGCCATTTACCTCGCCAAAACCACCCAGAACGACCAATTAAACTGCTAGGAAATACTCCCGACCACCACCATTAATTAACTCACTTGATTAAACAATTAATGTCCTAATTAAAATGACCAGAATCACTTGTTATCTCATGTAAACAATTATTATGATAATGTTGAGGTATATAAACATGCGAGTGTATGTATGTATATTAATGTGCGTGTGTGAGAGAGAGAGGGTGAGAAAAAAAGGTATATGAAAGTATGTATGTGTATATCTATATTTTTTTTCTTTATTGATTTCATTCTCGTTGTCATTATTACGATCATTATCCTTACTGCTATTTATCATCACTGCAAAATCATGATCATTACCATCATAAAATCATTCTTATCATCCGTAGTTTCACATTGCCATACCCCCTCCCCTCTCCCTCTCCCCTTTCCCCCTCCCCCCTTCTCCCCTCTCCCCCTTTCCCCCCCTCCCCTCCCTCTCCTCCCTCCCCATCTTCTCCCTCCCGAATATAAAAATGAAAACGAGCTAGTTCTTATTGAAACCACCAGGGGGTGTACAGGGTGAGGGAGAGGGGGGGGGTTGTCTCACAGGGGGGTGGATAAAATAGAGAGAAGGGGAGGGGAGGGAATGAGGGGTATGGGGAAGGAGAGTGGGGGGAAGAGAGGAATGATAAATGAGGGGGAGGAGAGAAGGAGAAAGATGGGGGGAGGGAGGCACGTAGGGAGAGAGAGAGAGAGAGGAGAAAAGGAGAGAGACAAAGAGAGAGAGACAAGAGACAAGAGAGAGAGGATGATATCTACAACGGAAAGAAAAAGACAAACAGAAAGAAAAAAAGAAAGAGAAAAACAAAGAAAACAACAACAAAAAAGCGAATGAAAGAAAAAGAAAAATAGAAGAAAAAAAGGAGGAAATATAGCGATATATCAAAAGAAAGAAATATATTTCAACCAAGCATATAAAATTCACCCACCTTTCGCTCTATCGGAAATTCATACATCATGGTGTATTGGAAGCAGGAGGAGGTGGGGAGAGGGGGGGAGAAGGGGGGGGTGGAAAGCCTGGAGGGGAAGGGGAGGGGAGGCGGATGTGTGGGGGAGGGGGGTGTTATATCATGATTTATGCTTCGGATTAAAAATGAAGCTAATTTTTTTTTCATTTATTATCATTTTTCTTTATTATCGTTCTTTTTTTTTTACTGTTTTTTTTTTTCTTTTCTCTCTTCTGTCTACATTTTTTCCCATTTTTTCCTATTTCTTTCGTTTTTAATTTTCTTTTTCTTTCCTTCCACTTCTTCCCTCCCCTACAACCTCATTTCTCCTTTCTATCTCTTTCTCCATCCATCTTTATCTCATTTTCTTTCCCTCCATTTCTCCCACTTCCTCTCCTTTCTTCTCTCTCATTCACCCCCCTCCTCTTCCTCCTTCCCCGTCTCCCTCATCCTTCCCCCTCTCCCTCATTTATCTCTATCTCCCTCTTTCTTTTTTCCATCTCTCTCTTCCACCCTCTCTCTCCTTCTCTCTCCATCTCCTTCTCTCCTTCCACCCTCTCTCTCCTTCTCTCTCCCTCTCCCTCTTTCCTCCTCCCCTCTCTTTCCATCTCTCCCTCCCTTCCACCCCCCCCCTCCTTCCCTTCGCCTACCCCCTCCCCCTTCCCGTATATCACACTGTATTAGACGACAGAGGAGGGGGAGAAGGAGGGGGGAGGTAAAAAGGTAGATAAATAGAAAGAAAGAAAGAAAAAAAATCTCATAATTCAGCTATTAAGAAGTCACTCAAAAAAAAAGAAAATAGAAAGAAGAAAGAAAGAAAAAAAAACGGAAATCGATCTGTATTTATTAGTATCATAAATTCTTCTCTGTTAATAAATTCCTGAATGTTCGAGACCCTCGGGAATTAGACAAAGGGGAGAACTGGAAGAAATGATAAATTGTAGATAGAAAAAAAGGAAGGAGAGGAGGAGGATAAAGAGAGAACGAAGCATAAACACGAATTAAAAAGCGAATTGAAAGAAAATTAAGACAATTGATTTTTTTCTTTCCTGTTAATTCATTGATTTAATGGCCTATTATCTATTTTTTATTTTATATTCATTTTTTTTTTTCGAGAAACGGCGATAAAATTTGGAAGTTTCAATCTTTCCCACATTTTTTTCTCTCTCTCCTCAGTACTCTTTCCATCTTATTCTTCTTGTTCCTTATTCTCCTTCTCTTCTCCCCTCTCTCCCTCTCCTTCTCTCTCTCTCTCTCTCTCGCTCTCTCCCTCACTCTCTCTCTCTCTCTCTCTCTCTCTCTCTCTCTCTTCCCTCCATCCTTCCCCCTAATGCCTCTCCATTCCGTTTATCTTTCACATTATCAATATTGTTGTTGTCGCAAGATCCCTGTTTTCTTTCTATTTGCATAAACTTTGAACTAATACCCTTCCCCGCCTCCCTCCCCCCCTCCCCTACCCCCTTCTCACCCCACCCCCCTAAAAGTCGCCATCGTTTAACATCAAAAGTTTAAGAAACGTTAAGCGGTTTTATTTTCTTCTTCTCTCTTTTTTTTTTTTTTTCTTTCTTTCTTTCTTTCTCTCTCTCTCTTTTTTCTTTTTCTTTTTTTCTTTTCTTAACTTGTTTTCCTTAAATTGGTGGTGTTTTCTTATCAATGTTTGGAGTTTCCTATTCTTTTTTTTCCCCTTTTTTTTTCTTCTTCCTCCTCCCCTTCCTTCTTCCCCTTTCCTTTACCCTCTCTTTCTCTTTTTTCCCCTTCATTTCCCCTCTGTTCCCTTCTTCCCCCTTCCTCTCTTCCTTCTTCCTTCCTTCCTCTCTTCCTTCTTCTCTCTCTCTTCCTCCCTCCTTCCTTTTAACAAACCTAAAACACCACCCTTTGCACACGTACACACACGTCAACACGAATCAAAGAAACCATCTTACACATTTCTTACCAGATTGGCGTCACTTTGAGAGAGAGAGAGAGAGAGAGAGAGAGATAGAGAGAGAGAGAGAGAGAGAGAGAGAGAGAGAGAGAGAGAGAGAGAGAGAGAGAGAGAGAGAGAGAGAGACAGACAGACAGACAGACAGACAGACAGACAGACAGACAGACAGAGACAGAGAGAGGCATAGAGAGACAGAGAGACAGAGAGAGAGAGAAAAAAAGACAGAGACAGACAGAGAGAGATGACAGAGATAGACGCGGATACAAATTGAGAAAGAGACTGAAGGATTGATGTAAAAAGGAAAGAGAGAAAGGGACTTAAAAGAAAACTGAATAAAAGCAAGAAAAAATAGAAATCTAAAACCTCTAACGTTTAGCATAAACCTAAACTTATATACAAAAAGATTTAAATTCAAAGCACATATTTCTTCTCTTTCTTTCTTTTACAATTCAACTGTTCCTTTTTATCATATTTCTGTCTCTCTTCCTATTTTTTTCCCCCTTTAACAGCGAATATGCATTTTGTCGGAAATTAATGTGAATAGACAGAGAAGCTTTTATCCGGGTTACGGGGAGGGGAGGGGAGGGGGAGGGAGGGGGAGGGAGGAGAGGGGTGGTGGGGAAGGGGGGGGGGAGGGGGGTGGGTGGGGATTAAGGGTTTCTCGAGACTGTTAATTATCATTGCTTTCGTTACTATTGCTTTAAAGTGTTCCGTTTGCATTATTTTCACCGCGATGAGGCAGTGTGTACACGACAGAGCAAAATTTCCAGCACATTCTTTAAAGTAAATTGCAAATTCCATTAAGCGCGAGATTAATAAGAGTCACTGTAAGACTTAAGTAAAAAAATCCCGGAGAAAGAGGAGGAGAAAGAATATATGAAATTAAGAAAAAGGATTAGAATTGAATACATAATGTACCATAAAGATACGAATATAAGGAGCAAAATAAAACTAAAATACAGAAAAAAGGAAACTTAAGCAAAAAAAAAAGAGTGAAATATAAAAATACTAAGATAAACAAACAAACGCATACAAATAATAATAATAAAAACATACACCCCAACCCGTAAATAAATTTCCCGCCAAAAAAAAAGGCGGGAAAAAAAATCAAAACAACAAAAATGGCGCCACGTCTTCTTCCACCTTACCTGTGTTTGTGTGAGACCAAGTTTGGCAGCAAGTTCAGCTCTCTCTGGCAGCGATAGATATTGAGTCCTTTGGAAAATTTTATTGAGTTGTTGCAGTTGAAGAGATGAATAGATGGTCCGCGGCTTTCGCATTTTCTTGCCTTTCCCGCCAACACGGACTGTCGCCTCGTCTTCGGGTTTTTCTGTTGGGGAGAAGAGAGGAGGTCAGGGATTCCGTTGGTTTGGTTTTGATGCTGTTTGTGGGTGGGTTTGTTTGGTTTGTTTTTATGGGTTTGTTTGGTTTGTTTGTTTGTGGGTGGGTTTGTTTGGTTGTGTGTGGCTGTGTGTTTGGTTGGTTTGTCTGCGGGTGTGTTTGTTTGGTGTAGCTTTTGTTTGTGGGTGCGTTGTTTGGTTTGCTTGTTCGTGTTTGTTTGTAGGTGTGTTTGTTTGTTTTGTGTTTGTGGCTGCGTTGTTTGTTTGTGGGTGTATTTATCTGGTTGTTTTTGTTCGTTTTTGTTTGTTTTGTTAAGGGCGAATAGAACTGACTTTTATGTTTTATGTATTCGTTATATATATACATTTATGTAGTGTTTTATATGTTATAAACCTTATATAAAGAAGTATATCAATAAATATGTGTGAGCAACTTTTTCCTCACAATTATACATATTTGTGCATCACAATATAGTTATATTCATCAATCACTATTTAAGATAGATAGATATAAAAGGCCGATAGATAATTAGCTAGATAGAGCAATTAAGCATGCACAGAGACGCAAAAAATACCGAGTGTTTGAAGAATAGATAAAAAAAAACAAAGAAAAAACAGGAGATAAATTAATATATAAATTCGAAACCAGAACCACAGAAATAATTTCAAAGGTGATTCATATATATACAAAACAACGCTATGAGGAATAAATAAACAAGACAACCATGGAACAACCAAATAAACAACACAAAACACCGAACTGCCAACAATTCGGAATTTCAGGCAGAACCTGATTTTTTTTTTTTTTTTTTAAGCCTTGCAATCTTTAAATTCATGTTTAAATTTCTCTTGGCTATCATGTAAAAAGGTAAGTGATAATGTGTATGTGTTGTGTGCATATATATGTGTATATATATATATATAAATAAATATTTATGTAGATATGCATATACTGCAAACACACACACACACGCACACACACAACACGTACACACGCACACACATACTCATATATATATATATATATATATATATATATATATATATATATATATATATATATATATATATATATATATATATATATATATATATATATATATATGTGTGTGTGTGTGTGTGTGTGTGTGTGTGTGTGTGTGTGTGTGTGTGTGTGTGTGTGTAAATAAAGAAAATTTTAACTTGTACACTTGCGGACTTTTTATCGTTACTATTATTGGCTTGGTGTCACTGCCTCCGTTGCCTTCGTGTTGTTGTTATCAGCTTCATCACTGCTCTCTCTTCCATATTTTCTTACTTTCTCTAAATTTTCTATCTCCTCAGCTTTTTTCTTCTCTATCTCGCTCGCTCGTTCGATCTTTCTGTCTGTCTCTGTCTGTCTGTCTGTCTGTCTGTCTGTCTGTCTCTCTCTCTCTCTCTCTCTCTCTCTCTCTCTCTCTCTCTCTCTCTCTCTCTCTCTCTCTCTCTCTCTCTCTCTCTCATCTCTCTCTCTCTCTCTCTCTCTCTCTCTCTCTCTCTCTCTCTCTCTCTCTATCCTCCTTCGTCTCTCTGTCTATACCCTTCTCCCTTCCAGCCCTCTCCCTTCCTCCTCCTTCTTCCTCCCTCTCCTCCCTCTCCTCCTCCTCCTCCACCCTTCTTTTCCTCCCTCCTCCACCCCCCTCCATCTCTTTTCAACACCCTTCCCCTCTTCCATCTTCCAATTCTTCCTCTCTCCCTTCTTTCATCCCCGCCCCCCCCCCTGCCCCCATCGCGCCCCCATCGCGCCCCCCCCCCCCAAAAAAAAAAATGGACCGCCAACAGCCTTTTACTACTGCTATTGATGACGAAATTGCCTTCCACAAGCACGCCGCTCAATCGCCTTTATTCGTCCATTTTTTTTTTTTTTTTTTTTTGGGGGGGGGGTTCTTGAAAGCAAACCCTTGATTTCTTTGTTTTTATTTTTCCTTTATTTTTCTTTTTTTTTATTACTTTATTTATTTTCTTTTTTTTTTTGTATGGTTGTTTTTTGTTGTGTTTTTTGTTTTGTTTTGTAGAATGTTTGGTTTTCTTTTCTTCTTTCGTTGTGTTTTCTCTGTCATTCTTATTTTTTATCATTCTTATTCTTGCTCTCTACTTTCCTCTCTCTCTCTCTCTCTCTCTCTCTCTCTCTCTCTCTCTCTCTCTCTCCTTTTCTGTTTCACTCACCCCTCTCTCTCTACTCCCACTCCCTCCTCTTCCTCTCCCTCCCTCCTCCCTCCTCCCTCCCTCCCTCTCCCTCTCTCTTTCTCTCTCTATCCATCTTCCAAAAGGAGACTGAAATAAACGTCAATAACAAATCCGAGCAAGAAAATAAATCAAGAAGCAGAAAGATGGATGTGTTTGTCGCCGATAATCGCTTTCATCTTGTTATTTACGTCTTCTTTTTGTGTGTGTTTTCTTCTTCTTCATTCTTTCTTTCTTTTTTGCTTTCATTTTATTTGGTGTTTGTCGTGTTTTTATTTTTCGTTTTTGGTTTTGTCATGTTTTGTTTGTTTGTTTGTGTTTGTTGTAGGTCTGTCGTTTGTCTGTCCGATTTCGTATTTTTGTTTCTCTCTCTCTCTCTATCTCTATCTATCTGTCTATCTATCTGTCTACCTATCAATATCTATCTATCTAACTTCTGCTTGTTTGTCTGTTCTATCTATTTATCTATTATCTGTCATCATCTATCTATCTATCCAGACAAAAACATAAAAATGAGAAATTTCTGAAATCCAAAAGTATAATATAAGAAAAAATCGTAGTCTGGTAAGATTTGATGAATAAAGGAGGAAGAATGTCAAAGAAAAAAAAAAAAAGATAGTGATGATAAGAATGCGATAAAGAAAAATAATAAATATGAAGATTATCGCGCATCCGACATGTCTTCGGAACATGTTAGTGTACGATAATAACTTTTTTTCTTCCTTTCTGTTTTTCGTTGTCTTTCTTATAAAATTTTGTGTCATTTACTGTCATTAGAGGAACGGTAAGTAATATAATTGTTTAGAGCTATTTTTATATATCTATTTTTTTAGTGTAGTGTTTATAAAAGAAAGAAGTGGCTGTAAGGAATAGAAAACGGGGCGAGAAAGTAATGTCTGGGGAGTCTTGTTTATTTTTTTTATTTGATGTATTTGTTGCTCTTTTTTGTTGTTGTTTTGAGTTATAGAGGAAGAAATCTTCATCTTTGATTTTGTATTATTCTTATCATGTTTATTTTATCTCTATTTTGTTTCCTATTCCCCTTTCTTATCTACTATTTTCTATTGCAATATGATTTTTTATTCTCCTTATCCTTCTCTTTCTTCTATTTCTTCTTCATCCTTTCCTTCCTAGTCCTCTCTTTCTTCTCATGTTCTGCTTATCCCTCATATTCTTCCTTATGTTCTATGCATTTTCCCTCTCCTCCTCTTTCTTTTCCTTACCGTCTACTCCTCTTCCTCCTCCTCCTCCTCCACCTCCTCCTCCTCCTCCTCCTCCTCCTCCTCCTCTTCCTCTTCCTATACCTCTACTTCCTCCTCCTTCTCACCTCCTCCTCACCCTCTCCCCTCCCGCTCTTCTCCTCCTCCTCCTCCTAAGCTACTCCTCCTCCTCCTCTCAACCCTCCCCCCTTTGCTCCTCCCTCCTCCTCCTCCTCCTCTCAACCCCTCCCCCCTGCTCCTCCTCCTCCTCCTCCTCCTCTCAACTCTCCTCTACCTCCTCCTCCTTCCCTCCTCCCCCACCCCCTCCCCTTCGCTCTGCTTCTCTGTGGTAAACGAATCAACTGATCATCTTGTCAATTAATGAATCAAAAGCGGGATTGGATTATTTGCATCCAGAGCGCATTCTTCTCTCCCCTCTTCTCTCTCTCTCTCTCTCTCTCTCTCTCTCTTCCCCCCCCCCTTTCTCTCTTCTTCTTTTTTCCTTTTTTTCTTCTTCTTCTTTTTCTTGTTTTTGTGTTTTTTTCATGATTTTTTTCTCCTTATTTCCTTTTTCTTCTCTTATTTTGCTAGTGAGTAAGAAAAAAAATGTATAACTTACACCGAAATATGAAATAGTGAAGAAATGTTGGAAGAAGAGATGAATAGATAAATTAGATAGATAGATAGATAGATTAGTTAGGTAGGTAGGTAGGTAGGTAGAGAGAGAGAGAGAGGAGAGAGAGAGAGAGAGAGAGAGAGAGAGAGAGAGAGAGAGAGAGAGAGAGAGAGAGAGAGAGAGAGAGAGAGAGAAGAGAGAGAGAGACAGACGACAGACAGACAGACAGACAGACAGACAGAGAGAGAGAGAGAGAGAGAGAGAAAGACAGAGACAGAGGCAGAGAGAAAAAGTAATATATATAGAGAGAGAGACAGAAACAGAGAAAAATAGAAAGAGAGATACCAAAAACAGAGACAGAACAAACCAGAAAGAAAGAGGTAAAGAAAGAGAAAAAGAGAGAGAGAAGAGCGAGAGATACCAAAGACAGAGACAGACAGACAGAAAGACCAGAGAGAGAAAGAGCGAGAGAAATCCCATCCAGCACAAGTCTTCTGCGAAAGAATTTTCCGATAAAACCACAAAAGGTTCATTGCAACTCTATCGTGTCTTCAATAGTGCGGTTGCCTCTCCTTGCAGCGCTGTTTCCTAGTCTACTTTGGGGCAGTGTTTATTCTTTTTTTCTTTCGTTTCTCTTTCGTTTTATGTTTTTTTTCTGTGTATTTTGTGTGTGTTTTTTTGTTCAATTTCTTGTATTTTTTTCTCTCTCTCTCTTTCTCTTGTTCGTTTTCTTATTTCTTTTTATTTTGTTTTATCATGCTTTTGGGGGTATTTTTTCTCTTTTCGCTTTCTTTTTTTCTTTTTCGCTTTCTCATTCCTTCAAATCTTTCTTTCTTTCGCTTTCTTTTACTTTCTTTCTCCTATTTTTACAGCTTTTCCATTCTGGTATTTTGTTTTTGTCTCTTAATCTTCTTCTCGGTCTCTCTCTCTCTCTCTCTCTCTCTCTCTCTCTCTCTCTCTCTCTCTTCTCTCT